AAGAACCAATTTTTGAGCTGGAAGCAGAAAGTAGGACCATTGTTACCTATGTGGCAAAAGAAGTTGAAGAATAGGAAAGAAAAATAAATATGTCCAGTAAATCGCTGGTAGAGGCAAAACAGTCTGGTGGACACAGGCTGTCCTGTATACCAGTGTTCCCCAGCTCAGCCTGCTTGGGTGCATGCAGCAGCAGCAGCAGCAGGAGCAGCGGGAGCATTTCCCAGTAGAGGAGGTGTTCAGCTGCTCAGCAGCGATGCAAACACCTCTTCGAAGTGGCCTGCGTGCCACTAGCTGTCCACGTACAAACGATCTAAAGACCATTTTGTACAAGTCTCTGGGAAGAAGCAAGAAGCCGCGTGCAAAAAGAAGAGAATTTCCCATGGCTCTAATCACCTGCAAATTCTGAAAAGAAATTATGATTATTATTTGACAAGGCCATAAAAAAGCCAGTAGGCAACTGTTGTACTCTAAGCTCAGCGAGGGCTACAGTGACATAGGATGGGAAAGCTATGCATGTATGGCAGCATTGTCATATAAAAGACAATACCACGATTTGTGCTACCTAGCATGCAGTGCCTGCTTCAAAGGCATGTTCTCAAAGTTAAGCAATTAATTTTAAGTGTGTGCTTATGCAACTTGAGTTTCAACAGTACTGGCAATTCACAGCTCCCATGGACAATATGACTGCAAAACAAGAGCCATTTTTCTAGAGGACATTCAGTTTGACAGTTATAGCTATTCCCTTCTGAATATTTCTGAATTTTCCTGCGGAATTGCAAGTATGAAGTATAAGTAGCTATACTTGAAACGTTGTCTTTATAGTATAAGTTCATTGTATCACTGAGTCCTGTGACTTTCTTTCACATTCTTGGATTATCTCTTGCATTAATGGCTCAGTTGAAAAATGAATGTGTAAATATTTATTTACGTACAAGTTTTGAGACAAATCTAATGCTTTAAAATCACTCAGCTTCTCTGGAACATCAGTGATATTTTTATCTGCACTGATGTATGCAAAAGGAATTATTATATTGGCAGTTATTATTTCTGTTTTTATAAGTAACACATACAAGTGAAAAATATAAGCCACATCACTCACCAGATAAAAAAAGACAAATGTAAAAAGTGTGATTTATGGAAACCTTTAATGGCAGTTTTATTGTAAAAGATTAGAAGTTCTCTCACTTTATCTGAAGAGTGGTGTAGTCTAGCTTTACTTGTACATGTGATAGACACATGCTTTTTCACTTATACAAGTGGTCTGTTCTAACTATACACTGTGAAGAAAATACTTGTAATTGCAACAATTGATTTCTCAGTCTGTCTTACATTAGGGAAACATTTTTGCAAACCATATTGTCTCAGTTTTTCCTGTCTCTAAAATTAGAATAAATCTTAGTTAGCAAAATTAACGTTAAAAATCATTATTTAATTCCCAGTGTTATATGAAAACATTAAATTATTAAATCATTACCCCATAATCTGATCATTTTGTCTCCATCCACAGGGAAAAGGAAACCACCATGCATCATAGCTGTCAGTGCAGATGAAGAAAGAAGTCAGTCACTCTTTCTTCTTCCTAATCCTTGGACTACTCTCTTTGGCTATGTCTATGTCAGTACTCCAAGCTGGTACAGGGACCGTCCCCTGGTCCTGAGACCAAGTGGCACAACTTTTTCCTCCCAAACCTTTCCTGAAGGTAATCTCATACAAGAGGGTAGTAGGGCAGGCCCACTGGCATTGCAGATGCTGCTATGACACCACTATGTCTTTTTGATGCTGACAATTTTATTTTCAGCTTCTATAAGACCTAAAATGCAGACAATCAAATTTTGATACATCTGAAGTGGGTTATTGCATTATTTCATGAGTGAGATGCCTTCCATGGGACTAGCTGTAGAATCAGTTGTGTTCAGTAGTATACATACGGTATTTGATCTTGACAAAGATAACCAAAATTATGTATATTGTAGGGAATATAACAGAAGAAATATAGGATAAATATTGCACTGAATTAATGCTCCAATTAGCTTAACTGCTACTTGAATTTAATTAACTATTATATTGCTTGAAGATGTTCCATAAATGACTTGCAAACATAAATGTGCAGAGGAGTGGCATTAATCTGTGTTATTAAGGCATAAAGATTTATTAGAGGAGCTCACAACATCTATGCCAACCAAAAATGCGATCACATAACAGAGTAAGTCTACTTTCTTATCTTATTAAAACGCCTAGCTTTTTAATAAAGTTATTACTGCTTTTGCCAGGTTTTTTTTCCTTTCTGGTTTCTTGCTTCAGTCCACACTTTGATATTCATGCATTTCTTGAAATGCCTCAGTTCTGTGAATAATCGTACATTTCCCCTGGTACTTTGCATGGAGCAAGACACTCTATTATATTCAAAATTCTGTGCCCTCTGAAGTGCATGAGAATTTGACAGACTCCTGCAGGCTGTCTCAGAGGGTATGTATCACTATGTGCAGACAAACTGCAATTTAATTGGAAATGATACATTTCATAGCTTAACTGTTAACTTTGCATCCTTTTTTCCGAAAATACAAAATTTCACTGCAGAGATAATTTGAATACCTTTGTCACATTGAAAAGGGAAAGAATTAATTAAATTCCAGATTGCCAATCAAGTTGAGAACACAATATGGAAATCCCCATTAAACAGCAGGGAAGTAATGGTGCTCAAATTGTGACAGAGACTACTATATCTTGCAAATGAAAATGCCATCTCCAATCTGTAACATAACAATATGCACAGATTTCTCCCTGCCCCCATCCCCACTCTCTTTTCTCAAGTCTAAAGTGCACTCTGTAATGCATTATTAAGCTAAATTCTGACCCAGTTTCTTAATTATCTGTAAGCTACGGGGAACTTGTAGCAGAATATTAACTAAGGCAAGAGATGTAAGACAGAAGAATCCATGACGGCATCAGAGAGAATCATTAACATTTTGCTAAGAAAATCCTTCGTATTTTAATATTTAACCTAGCCTAACACGTAAAACCTGTATTTTAAAGTGGTACAAAGTATATACGAACCAAGTGACCAAAACAAACGAGACAAAAAAGAAAACAGGAGTATTTAGGGAAGCATTCCTGGATTTACAAAATCAAAAACTTGTAGCATACTGACACATTTCTGGGACAACGGGATTTTTTCCAACCGTTCTTAGTGTGTGCCATCGACAGTTGTTACAATCTCGTATAACGTTATTTGCTGAACTATTTATTTTAGAAAAAACGTAGAATATTATCCGCTATGAGTTACAGATGTGTACCCAAATTTTGGGGGGTACAACCAGGATAAACAACTGTCATACTAAATGACAGTTTTGAAAGAATCCTCCAAACATTTTTGCGCCTGCTTAGTATCAAGTTAGCAGCTGCAGTTTTATACCTCCCGGCACTGCTGCGTACTAGTGGAACACGATAAGTTTTCATGGTGAAAAATCAACCACAGCTATATTATACCAGAAACAAAGAACACTTGGACTTCTACCTACAAAGCTGCAGGCGTATGTGATTTTTGAAGACTTGCTGTATCTCTGATGTAAGTGTTCGAGTGAGTGAAAAACATACTGCAAGAGCAATGTATTTAGTGAGAACAATTTTTAATATAAAACATATTTCAAAATTATTTGAGGAAAAAATACCTTCCCCACCCCCTAACTGAAGGATTTGTGGTATGCTCATATAGAAAGTCACGCTTAAATTGTAAAATTTAGATAGCAGAGAAAGTCTGCAATATATATTTATAATTTTGTGGACAAGGCTGTATGTACTCAGTTCAAAGATCAAAGAAAACCCATGCAGTCCAATTACCATCAAGCTGAGGAGTCACCTAACGCAGCAGAATATGGCATTTGTATATACATTTTTTAAAAACATTTGTTTCATGAATTCATCAACAAAGAAATCCTACTGTTTTGAAAAGAGTAAGAGTCAGTTAAATACAATGTTTTATTAGTAATAGTGTCAAATGCAACTCATGTGGCAAGTCTGTAGTTCGCAAAACGTGATGACTGGAAAGTGCTAACAAGCTTAATGTACATTCAAGTACATGGCTTCAATTTGAAGTGTACTTTCTCTGCTGGAGCGTCTGGATGTATCATTGCTAATGCTAACACTGTGAATTTCCCACTTCAACTGGCCAAACATTCTTCTTCTTCCAGGAATAAAGGCGTCCAAAATTTTTCCAAAGTGACAACCAGCAAGGCTGAGACACCTTTCTTTTATGAATAAGGAAAAAACCCCAAATCAACATTTTTTAATTAAGCACCAGTGCGTAGCCGCCTAAACAGAAAGCCCGATTTTCAAAGGCAGATTTTTTAAAAGTACCGCATGCTTTTCATTTGCATCTTTCTTTCTACACTAATCCATGTATTCGGTCAGGCCCAAACATTCATACCAGAGTATCCTCTACAGAGAATGGACACCATTTTTTCATGCATTTGCAGTTCACTTGTGTTTGACTGCAGTCAAGCCAGCATTCAGTCAGCTGTCCCTTGGCCCGAGGAGAGAGCAACTGCAACAGCACATGCTCCTCAGACAAAGCTGGACACCAGGAGGATGTTCACCAATGTAAATACGTCATGCAAACAACCTGTGACATCCTGACCCTACAATGGTTGGTGCTTTCATCTCCCAAAGTGCTTTGATCCAGTGGTGGACTGTGAGGAAATCTGCATGGCCTCAGGTGGGAAACCATTCTGACCGATGCAGATGTGGCTGGACAGACAACCTAAAGGCCTTATCCTTGTCTCCGTTGGGCAAAGAAAAGTCCTTAGTGAAAGTCTGCTGGTATCTATTGTTCACTTCTTAGCATAATCACCAGTGCTATTATTGTTAAATGAAAGAGAGCCCCCTCCCCTAAAAGCAAAATCATCTATTCAGACACAGCAGCATTCTGCCTCCTTGTGTCATGCCGCTCCATGGTCGTCACTGTTTCTCTCACAAAAATGTCCCATAAGAGTTTTTTTTCCTTCTCAGGATTCTATTTCTTCCATCACTTCCATCACAATCGTTCGAGGGCCAGTCAGGATGAGGTTGCTCACTGTCCTGTAATCCACGTGGAGAACGTTGAGGCCATTGACAGATACAACAAACTGGCAAACCTGAGGAGAAAAGTGAGCAGCAAAACCAGTTACACATTAGACATTTTTTGTAAGGTTGTTTACACAGATGTACTATCCACTGCTGGGCATGCAAAAGCTCCAGAACATTTAATATCATCTCATTGAGCATTTTTAAGAAAAACACATTTCTTACAATTAATCTGGCAAGTCAATTTTCTAGAAAATTTTTTGAAATATCACTGCAACTTTCAAATCTGTGGAATTTTGAAGTCCTACATCAATCATTTTTCTTATAAAATTATATCTTTATTATAACAATGATATTTTCTAATATCAGTGGTGCTTTGCAAACAATATGGGACAAGACAGCTCTGTTATCCTTAGTCATCTTAAACACTTTCATAGAAACCACTTCATACAGCTCTTGGTAATCACGATAGAAATATGCATCGTGTTTCCAGGCTCAGGGCAAGGTCCGGATGATGACTTCACTAGATTCAGTGCCAAAACCTCCACCAGTACAACATGAACTCAAAGGATCCAAATTCTAGGCAATAATATCATGGAAGATGAAGTCAGTGCTGGGACAGATTAAAATGTCACTGCCATTTTCAGGAGATTTTCCTACACAGATTTAGGGTTTTTTTACTTTTTATGTGAACAGGGTTTTGGTTTTCTTCAGCAAGTATGGTTCATTAATTAATTTCAAATATGCTAATATTTTGGTTTTAAAAGCTGTAACAAATTCAAACATTGACAGTCTTGTATCATCAGAGCCCATTTTCTGTCCAAAAAGTCTTGATAGAAATATTCTGACCAACACCACTGCATATCTTAAAAGAGTTAATCAGAGAAAAAGTCACATCAACATTTTAAAAAAGCTGAGGAGGGAAAGAAAGATAACAATACCGATTTCTCAAAAACATTAAGCCTTCTCTGTATCTAATCATAATATTGCAGTATGCAGTAAAAAGGCCAAAAATGTGTAGTGTCTAGATCTGTGTTTTTAATGACAAAAATATGGAGCCTAAAGCAACAATAATATCATCCTGATGTTTCAATGAAACAATGCATTCACTAGAAGGCTATCTTAGTCATAAGTCATCTTGAGTCTGTAAGAAAGAAGCTATAAAGCAAATATCACTAGAAATTTCCATGCTTTATTTCACATTTTCACCTTTCCTATTTAGGCAGAAAGACAACACAGAAATGTGTGCAGGAGAGGTGGGAAGCAGCTCTGGCATCTTCCAGTGCTAGCACTAAAGCAGGTTTTCTCGCAAGCCAAGCCATTTCACTTCTGTGCCTCAGCTACCTTCCCTCTCAAGCAAAATGTGCGGTGAAACTCAATTCGTATTTGTGCAAAATGTACAGAATGTAGCTATTAATGTTCCATTTATGGAAAATTACAGAGGAAGCAAAGCCAATCCAAAAATGTAACATTTCATCAAAAATGCCACTGATGATTTTAATCTTTGCTCCTTAGAGTGTCTGCACAGGAAGAGTGGGAGCAGCAGCCCGAAGGGAGGGCAGACCTCTCTCTTGCACCTTACCCCTTACCCTCAGAACTCCTCTGCAGAGCTGAAGATCCTGGAAGTCAGCCTTACTGGTAGCCTCAATGATCATCAAAGTATGGCAATCAGCAATACCACTTAGCCAACTTCCATGGTAGTATGGATGTATCTTTGCTATACATTCATATGCTATATTTCAGCTGAAAGTACCACTGGGAAAATGGTTCAGATTTCGCAGGCAGACAAAGCCTTCTGAATTTTAACGACTTTGGTTGAAAAGGTAACCCATCATCCTCTGCTGTGTGCCTCAATTAGTATTTAAGAGGCATGTCTATTTAGTTTAAAATGCCGATTACTGCAGTATCTATAGGTCTCTCAACTTCCAGCAATATTTCCTAACACTTTCTATGGCTTTCCAAGATTGTATCAAGTTTTACTGAATTATAGCTCTGGCTCCAGAATAATATTTGGCTTGATTTAAAACAGACCTGCAGAAATAACCTTGTCTCTTCTGGCTTAATGCAATTTTTGGAAGTTGAATAGCTCATGTTTGTTTTACTGCTGCACATTCTCAGACTTCTCAAGTTACTGGAATCCCAATGCATGGGACTCGTGTTTGGCCAGGGACAGGCATGCAAGCATGTGATGGATAAATCTGCATGCTGGATCACGTCAGGGGCATTTGGGGGCCTCCGGGGAACATCCCTGGCAGAGGAACAGACTTTCCACACCAGCCAGCCGCTCGCACCAGGGCTGCAATGGTGTAAAAGTGGATGGTACAGGCACCACAGTAGTGAACAGCAATCTGGATGCCAAAGAATGAATTTCTTACACAAAAGACAAGAGTTGACATGTCTGTGTTCTCAATGTGTTTGTTTTAATGTATGCCCTTGGCAGTATTATTAATCAGCAACGCGTACGGGCTGAGAACAGTCCCCTTTGTGCCATCCTTTGCACTTGATCCATTTGGCTTATTAGTTTCACCATTTCCAGTGGATAGGATTAGATGCAAGAAGTCCACCCAAGCCAGATGAGAAGAGCAATGTAGAGAGGAGGACAAGGCACAGAAGAGTGTACTTCTGTCCTAAAATTGCATGAAAAGACCCACAAGGAACAGGAGATGATAATAAAGAGCCAGTCACCCTGGGGGCAGAAAGCTCTCTCCATGGCCATCACTTGACCAGTGCCCTCAAGGGCTGACTCTCTGCAAATTCCAGACCCGGGTCCCTCAGGGATAATGGAAATGTGGAGTCATTTGCTGCGTCCTCAGTCCTGACAATGGGAGAGAGGTTTGCACAGTCCTGAGCCCTTTGGTACGATGAATGCCCTTGACTCACCCAGTTTTCTTCTCCCCACTCTAGTTTTCCATCCAGCACTGCATCCAGCAAGGGGAAATGAAATGTAGCCCTACTTTTTGCATTTTGACCATCATCAATCCTGCCCCAAAAAAGCCCACATCATGCATTGCTCTTGGTCTTGTTACAAAATGAGCAAGAGCAAGCTAGTACACACAAACTAGCCCCAACTGAGCATATCAACACATACATTATCATCTCTACCATTTTCTTAAGGAGGCTGGTTTACAGAATCGCAATGATTTAATGTTACATTTATAAAAACACATTTCAAAAAGCTGTAAGTGTTCAGCTCATAGCTACAGCTGTTAAGGGCTTTGTAACTATAAACATGCAAAATTTCTCTTTTGGTTTCCACACATCAGTAACTATACTAGATAATAAACTAAAGTTAAAAAAGCCTCAAAGAGTCTTTTATTGCTCATTTCCTCATAGCTTTCCAAGGAGCCTGACAAGACATAAGCATCCATTTTTATCCCTCAAACTTCAAGAAATGACAAATCCCAGAATAAATTCCAACCATTTTGTTGGTCAGGATATGGCAATCTAAAAACCACAGAAACAATAACAGTTCAGTAAAGTAACATTGAAATGAAAAGACTCTCTTAATTAATGTCAAATATTTAAATGCTACAGTAATAAACATTTATTGTTAAGTATTTTGATTCCCCACCCTGGCATACAGCAGCCCACAGAAGCAGGGATACCAGAAAAGGCACCTCTGTCTTTCTGCAGGTCTGCACTGGCACACACAAGATTTAACCAAATCCAGGTGTTCCCAGGAAAAGGAAAACTTCAACTTTGGGCTTACATTTGAACAGAAAGGATCTGGGAACCTATCGCTTAAAGAAGTTAGCAAAGATTTGTCATGCCATTTATCATCAAACTGAAGATGCCGAGAAGAGGAATTATAACTAGTTACCGTAACATTTAATGGCCAAAATCAGGCTTGTGCTGTACTTGGAGCTGTACAACCCTTTCTCCCCCTCACTAGTTATTGCTCTTCCCTTCACGGCAGGCGCTGGCTGTCTGCCCCTCCTTGGTCTTGCCAAGCTGCCCTGGAGATGTACATCCACACCCCTGGATTCTCCTGCCAGGAGAACTGCCTGCTGGCCAAACCAAAGCCCCGCTCCCTCGCAGGGGGCTGCCTGCACCGGGGCTGGGCGGCTGAGCCAGCGTGGCTCGGGAGCTGCAGGGAGGATGACTGTGGGATGCTCCCGAGGGATGTCAGAGACCAGCTGCAGGCGTGGGTGGGGAATTGCACAACTATCTTAAAGCAAATTATTGAATAAAAACATCACATACCTGTCACTAATTCTTACTTAGCGTTCTGCCTCAGGATTACCTTAATATTTTTGAATGCTACAGGAATATTACTTGAGAACAGGCAGTTAGCCTAGATCCTCAGATATTCAGATGCTGTTTGTGCCATAGGCTTTAGTCACCTGTCGCTGTGGAGCCAGGCCTTGCTTGCTGGACTTTTTTCAACTTAATATAAAAAAAAAATCTTTTAAAAATTTCCTTTCTTATTGTAGGCACATTTTTTAGAAGGATACTGTGAAAGATCATGAAGAGCTGGAAATTCGGTTTAAGTGACAATTGCAATGTTCTTTGTGACAGCCCTAAAAAAAGCATTTAATTTTACAGATGCAGTGAGTGCAATTGTTCATCACTGGTTGCAAAGCAAGTAATAGCTACACAGAGTCAACAGATAACATATGTCAAAACAGTAGAATAAGACCATGATTACACAGTCACTTCAATTTGACAATTTTAAAAACTTAAAAATTTTTTTAAAAAGCTTGAAATGAACAGGAACACAACTGCCCGAGCCAGCGTACAGGAGGCAGTATGGCTGAGGGTGACTGGGTGACCACCCTTCTCCACAGCAGCAAACGTGTGCGCCCCATTTCAGTGGCCGTGGGTTAAGGCTCTAATTCTCAATGGATTTATCATTTACATTTCGGTGTCAGGATCAGTGTCCGGAACCTGCTCTGCTTTAAATTTGCTAATGTCTCTTTAAGAAAGAGAGTATAAACACTATGACAAATACAGATCGAATAGGTACCAAAGAAATCAATGTTACCATGTACAACGTAGGCTTGAAATTCTTGAATACAAAGGTAGATTATGTAATGACACATTAAAGATAGGGGCAAAGTTACTGGTTTTC